ATTTGGTGTAATGAAATGTTTATGCGTTTTAAGGTTCAAAAAACACATTATTTTCCACATACTGTACATTATTGTTTCTCCTCTAAACCCTGAAACAACATGCAGAACTACCACATTTTGCTATAAGTTTGATTGCATCATATAATAATTGCTGTTAATAGTGTTCATCGTCTGTTTGATTACGTCTTTAATTGATTTTTCCGTACATTTATGCCATATGTACATTGACTGACAGTCACCACTGATAAGCTACCACTAAATATTGTAGAAACTTAATTTGCTGTAAAGTTGCTTTGCAATGATTTGTATCGTGAAAAGCGCTGTACAAATAAACTTGAATTGAATTGAATTGAATGAGAATCACAACTAAGTCTCCTGAGGTTAGAAAGAGCAACCACTGAGCAATAAAATATTCCTATAATGGAGTCTTGATAGAGATTGCAGCAAGACAATAAAGAGATATTCTATGTTTCTTCCACCATATTCTCTGTTTTGACTCTTTTTTTCTCAAATATTTCTCATGTCTCATTTGTGTCTACTTCCATTTCTCCTAAGGAATTTTAAGAGAAACATCTGAAATGCTGTTGATACTAAAATGAGAGATATATGAGAATCTCATCTAAGTCTCCTGAGCTTAGGAAAAGCAACCACTGAGCAATAAATTTTTCCTATGGGCTGTCCCTAATCACAACTAAAGTACACTCAACATTTCTGAGCTCAGAGGGAGGAGGAGGATGATTGGAATATAAAGGGTCATGAGCCAAAAGGAAGCCACTAAACTCCACTGTCTCAGAGCTGTGAATATCACAGTGAAGCACACAAGGTCACCAATCTATGCCCTTGCACTTTGCTGCCCCCTTTTTGATTTACTTTTATTGACATGAATGAGGTGACTGAGGGTGACAACGTCCAATGGAAGATGGATGGAAACCCCATGGTTAATGGTTGAGGTTCATTAATAACACACAGTCGTTAGTATCCAGCATTCACAATGACAGAGATTTGTCACAGTTGTCAATACTCATTTTTTTAAATGCTAGAAAACCACACTTTGGATACTATGGCACAATGTAAGATGGGTCAATCTATCTCAAGTGGTCCAATGGAGGTTGCTTGAGCATTTTTAATTTTCCAAATGATTCAAAAAAAGAGGTAAACTTGAACCCTTCCCATTATAAACTGACCCTGCAAGTGGAACTTTGAGCGATCTTGATCATTAAATGTGGACTTAAGTTGTAGTTCTAAGGAACAAAAATGTGCAAAATATTCCTATTCGTACATGTACCTTGAAATGTGCTCAAGAGATCAGCTTGTGTTTCAAGGAACTAGTACTAACCCAGGACTGACCCAGATGCTACAGTGAAAGTTTGCAATAACTTTACTTGTTAATTGAAAAATGTTATCTAATTAAATACATGTATTTTAAAGTATATATGCAGGGAACTGGAAGTAAACATCAGATGACTTCCAACAGTCACTTGAACATATTATACATTCAATCACTCATCCTTGTTTCCTCTTTTGACCCACTAGATAAGCTCTTCAAGCAGACTACACAGTGTTCAAAGACAGATAAAGTTGTTCTTCATGAGGATTTTTTAAACTTTCATGGGTGTATAGATTCTTTAAGGGTGGAAAATAAGAGAATGCGTACAACACGCAAGCCATTATCAGTGTTTACCAAGCCAATGAAGGCACCACAGGGATGGTCTTTATGAGGATTAGAAAGCTGCCCCGCGGTCCCCAACTGTGTGCGCTGCATAGTAATGCTAATGCTAATTGTGCAGGACAAACTGTTAAGCCTCTCTGCTCTATGAGTGGCTTCTTGATGAAATGGCAAGTGACACTGGGGTGAGTCAACCATACTGGTGTCTCTCATCCAGTACTGCTATTATACAAATGTGACAGGCCAAATGTGATGGCAAATGCTAAAGCATGAAGCTAGCAGTGCCAAAGTCATAGGTTTGATTCCAAGGAAGTTGTTTAATGCATAAATAAATCAAAAAAATATCAACAGACAATCTAAAGTATATAAATGAAATATCAAGGTAAACAGAATCACACTATATTGGTATTATATGAGCACAGCTGTAATTTTTATGTGTGTGACAATATCTTGTTTTTGCTGGCAACAACAACAAATAAACTGCTAATTCTGATTAAATGCCAATTGCAACAAAAGGAAAATCTCAAAAGAAAATGTCTGGCATAAAACCGGTCTAAATCTATCCTACTGTGCGATTGTTACCTGGAGAAGCAACATTATGAGTCAGATATCAAAGACTACGGGGACTATGAGTGAGTATGTCTTCACTCTGTTAACACAGATGGGACTTTCTCATCCAAACTTCGCACATAAGCGGGACAAAACAAATAGCGCCGTTCCAAAAGCACTCAAAAAAAGCACTCATGTGTTAGCATGAGGCTTCACAATGGATTCAAAAATAATTGTCTCCCAGAAGACCCTGCATTGGCTTGACTTCACCACACAAGCGTTTGGAGAGAGAAAGTCCTTCAAACTGCCTCCGAAAATTAGATACAAAGCTCTTCTGCTGCCAACAGGACTGTGTTCCCATTGTACTGAATTCTCACAGAAGAGTGGAGAGGACAGTCCACTGTGTTGTAGAGTTTTAGAGAGAGGGCTTTGTTGGAATGACAGAGAGGCTAAAACACAACCAGTTCTGATCTTTGTAGACCAGATTAGGATAGAAAATGCAGACCAGACGGAATATGTATGGTGAAACAACAGAAATGGCTGGCATGCCAAAGAAACATGCAATGCAACCTACTATCAACCATTTTTATAAATCAAAACTAAAACACAAACACCTCAAAAGAACAAGTTGCCAGTTTAAACCAGCCCGAAATGGGCCGTATATCTAAAATATACATTAATAAATCATAATCAAATCAAAACAAAATCTAATGGCAAGCTTGTGAATTGGAATAAAATCAAATGTGCAATTTACACTACTGAAGAAATAAGAGAAAATAATCAAATTACATTAAGTATCTTTAACATACACTGTATTATCTGACAAAAATTTATTTATGCATTTTTTATGCATAGTTTTTCCTTCATAAATTACTATATAATGATGTATACAAGTAATAAAATATATGGGAGTTTGGTCATACAGCCCACCCATAGTCCAGACATGTGTTCGGCAGACGCGACACAGATTCTTAAGTGTAGGAAAAACCTCTTGTTTCATTTTAAAAAGGCACATCTGTTTTGCTCACTGCTGATGATAGAACTTTCTAACAAGCTCTCATCCCAACTTAAATTATCCTGTAATTCTCCAATCAGTGGATGCAAGACCATTACAACAGACAAGACATTCCTCAAAGGATTTGCTTGGTATACTTTACAGAAATGCACTTAATAACTCTTATTTCTGGCGCCATTATTTCAGAGGAGCGATTTCAGTAAACATGTCAAGAGGTATATTCATCCGATCTCTGAATTCACACTGTCAAACAATCACTGAGACGACCTCAATCAGAGTCACAAACAACCCCAATGGGGTATTCAGGTGATGGACTGGGACTTTCGCTTGCAAAAACAAACATTTATATCCCCCAACGTCAACTACACATCCTGCCCCAGCGAAGGTATTTGAGACCACATGTGCTGTCTGGTGACTTCCAGGTGAATAAATATCACTAATTATCCCAAACAAACAGTTGAATAAAGGTTTGCTTTTAGGGCTCTGATTAGCGAAATCAGACCTGCATGACCACAACCACTTAAGCTAAACTCACAGTCATAATTAGAAGACTTTCTCCATAACATTTATGTTCACTTGACCCCGGTTACTTGATGATACAGAGTGAGCTCAGTTGAATTTAGGCAATATGTCCTAATGTATCTGTTTCACAATCATTTAAGCTGAGTTACCCGGCAAAGTGCATTAGTGTATTACAGTCAGAGGTGTACCAATCACAGACTGTTCCTTTGCTCCAGTTTCTTTGATGAGTTCAGGATGTTTTTTTTAAAGTAAACATCTTAATGGGATCTGAACATACATCTGAAGCTTGTGCTTGTCACTTAAACATTCTCTAATATTTGTTTACCTGATTACCAAACCATGAGGACAAACATCTCACACTTAAGTGAGTAAAACAAAGTGGAAAACTTGACAACCCAAACATATTCTCTCAATGAATTTATATTGTTCCTGTAGCTCAGTCAGTAGTGTGTGGCCCAAGCAGTGCTAATGTCATGGGTTTGATTCCCAAGAAATGCATGAACCGATAAAAAAGTGCATCTTGAATACAATGTAAATTGCTTAAGATAAAGGTGCCTTCCAGATGCATGCAATTTATAATTACATTATTAAAAATAACATATGCTGCATCTCATCAATAAATAACGCATTATGACTGCATTTTTTGAGTGTATTATTGTATTCAGTATTGATTTTATTTTTATTTTATTTTTTTACATTAGACCTCAGGAGAAGCTTTAGTTTAAAATTTAACAGTATATGTCCCCAAATGTCACAAAATTATCACATAGGCCTATCGGAAATGTGCGCTGTGATTTCAGTAAAGCTGCCATGCGCAGTGGAAAAGCAAATAACCCCGATGGAAATATCGACGGTCTGAGATGATAGCTACTCTCTCCTTCATGTTAGCGCTCAGTTTTCAAATATTAACTGCAGATTAGCATGCGAAGTTAAAGGAATAGTTCACCCAAAATGCAAATTCTGTCATCATTTGACAGTTTCTTCGGCAGATCACAAACGGAGACGTTAGGGAGACTCAGTCACCATTTACTTTCATTGTACGGAAAAAGATGTAATGAAAGTGAATGGGGACTGAGGCTGTTAGTCTCGTCATTCTGTGTACAAGAGAGAGAAAGTCAATACAGATCTTGAACAATATAACGGTGAGTGAATGATGGCAGAATTTGCCATTTGGGGGGAACTGTCCCTTTAAACCATACAAATGAATGCGTAAACTGTGAATTTAAAAAGGCTGTATATATAAAATACCTCTCATGTTGTGGATTTTGACCATGACCTCGGCTGTTGACATCAAACGAAACGCCAAGTACACGCGTCCGGAGTCTCTTTCTATCTGGACCGGTGAGTTCCCGTCCGAAACCACCTCGAACCATCAGTGTCTTGAGAAACAACAAAAATGCAATCAATTGTCTGGATTGCAAATTTGCGACATGTGACAGAATAATGCTTAATTCATAGAAATTTCCCAGAATGCTACAGACGTGTAGTACATTTTTATTTAATCTAACTGAGAACAGTTTCCAATTTCCTTCTTTATCCAAAGACTGATGTGCTAAACATCACATTTGACAAGTGCCTACTGGGTAACTCACCGCCCTACAAAAGGCAAAACATTGTAACTACACATTTTCTACAACTGAATTGTGATGAAATCACAGAAGTTGCATAAATAAAGCTACTATGTTGTGCCTTAAGAAGTAGTCTGACCAAGTAGCAGTTAGGCAGGGGGCCTTACTTTTCGGTTTAAAATTAGGCCATTTATGTTTTATGTAAATGTTTAAAAAAAGGTTATGACCAGTTTTATTGAAATTATATGACTTATAAGACTAGTCTAAGCAGTTTATGTAACTGGTCACAACAGGTCTTTTAGACTATAATCTGTCCTGTGATAGACAGCTTTAGCTCAACTATTCTCAGATCCAAAGATAATGGAGTGTGAAATTTGATATCAAATGAATCAAAATGTAATCCAAAAACTTTCAAGAACTTTTTTCTTATTTCAGTTTTGGCATAGTTACTGCATTTTTGCTTTGTTAGGTGGCATATTGCCTCTGAAAGACAGGGGATCAAGGTTTGGTTGGTTATCTTTAGCAGCCTTGCTGCAGACTCCATAACTATATCACTCCTCTCTCAGTGTCATCTGGCGGATGGATTCTGTTTGAGGCACAATGGACACTCACAGACAGGTGAGATCAAAACAAATCAGCCTGTGACATCAAATATCCTAGGACCGAGTTAGAGAATATTTTATTTCCTATGTTAACAAATGGAACCGTTTTTTATTGCAAACAAAATCCTTTTTTTTTTTTTTTGGGCATGAGGTCAATTCACGATTGCACACTACTGATCATCACTATTTTCCTATTACACCACATTTCATTGTTTTCCCTTTCATTCTTTTCAGTTTGATAATTAGTGCTACTCTGTAAGTGCTGGGTATTCCATGATGTTCCATGATAGAAATGCATAATGGGCACATACTGCATGTATTGTCCATTTTGTCAAGGTAAGGAGATTAATAGGATGGGCCCGATTCCAGTCTCTTTCTTTTGTTAAGTAACAATATTATTCAAATCAAAATGCTTTTCAAATGGAAATGAAATTAACTGATATGAGTGCTATTATGGACTCTGTAGTGGGAGATTCATTACAGATAATTTTTCTGCTCAGCTCTGTGTGGAAGTGCAAAGAAAATTATTGTCAATTTTAAGGTTTTTAAGTCATTCTCAGTTAATTGTTGCTGCAGAAATATAAAATTGTCAAGGCTTTTTATCACTGCAAGGAATACATAAAAAATTCAGTCATTATTCACTCCTATGTTGTTTCAATCCTGTAGATTTTCTTTGTTCTGTTGAACACAAATGGAGAAGCTTTGGAGAATGTTTGTGTTCCTCTCTAGGCTAGGTATATGACTCTTATAGGCTGGATCTTTTTGGTGAATCAGAGGCTACATCCACATTAATCCGGCTACATTTGAAAACAGAGTTTATGTATAAAAGCACTCTCCATCCACACTAGCGTTTTTAAGCATTTTACAAAAATTGCTCATCCACACTGACATGTCTGAAAACACTGAAATCACATTGCTTTGCATGTGTAAAATGTCATAAACGCTCAATGAGACACAACAGGCACAGCAATGATGGCACAACCATAGATATTTATTGGTACAATATGCGTCACATGACTAAACATGAGTCATGGGTTTCAATAAAATCGAATCAGCATCTGAACTGAATTGGGAAATGTGTATCGATACCCAGCCCTACTTCTCTCTTCCAAACACTGTCATATGGATTTGAAATGATATAAGGAAGAGTAAACAATGACCAAATTCTGATTTCAGGTGAACTATTCCTTTAATGTCTCTTGAGAGACAGTCTCGTATGATGGTACAGTGCTGTGCACGTGTCCATATTGCGCTCAGATGTGCGCTCAACCTTTGTCAATTGTGATGAATGAGCGCAGTGCCAAAGATGAGGCAAGGTGGAAAAACAAAAGATCCACACATGGGAATATTTATCCTCATTCCCATCAGCTCAACATATGCCTCACCTTGTCATACCTACCGTAATCATTCCCACAATACAGAGTACTGTATATACAAGATATGACATGACATAACCTCTCAGAAATATGTTAATAATACTACCTCAATTTCCCTCTTTGAAATTTCTTTGCTTGATTTCGGGAGAAAGAACCATCTGAATGCTGCGGTGTGCTCAGAAAGCTACAGCTGAAAGATGTGCGCACGCTTTAAATGGATTAAAGCAATCACCTGCACATTTCTCTAAAGTCAAATAGACTTGTTTAAGCATGAAAGCCCCCGCAGCAGCCCGCCTCCTCCTCACCACCTCTCTTTGAGAAGCATAAAACACAAATTACAGCAATTTACCCCAAGAGGCAGTGTGTGCGTGTGACAGCCGAATGGGTTTCGAGTTGACGGTGTCGAATGTCGTGCCACAGCCACTCACGCCAGTCTTTCATCATATTTTGGCATGCCTCTCTGTGGAAAAAGTGACAGGAATGGAGAGGGAAAGACGGCAATCTCGCAAACCTTGAGTTTCTCCGTCAAAGGTCACCAGAACTGACAGGAATTTTCTCTCTCGCCATCACTGGCTTGTTTCCTCCTCATTTCCATCTGTACTCTCTCTCTCTTCTCTTTCCATCCCTCATGTGCTCTCTCTTTAATCTGAGAACTGACAGTCAAATGAATGCCAGGTGGATTTTTTTTCCTCCACCCCTGTTGTATCACAGGCAGAGAAAGAATTATTCAACAGTGAGAGTAGCCCTGCTCGTCCATCTCCTCTCTGTGTGCACAGAATCAGTCTCTGTTCTCCTGTCTGGTGTATCAGATTGCTGACTGGTTCCTCATATGCTCACTGCAACTCTAGTGATAACATCTTAAATCAGAGTCTGCAGAGGTGCTTCTCTCTGTCACATCGTCCTCCTACCAGCACTTCCAAATCCATCTCCTGAATTCTTTTCCTCCTCGGGCTTCATCCCATCATTACTGCATCTGCATTGTTCTCTTTTGTGGAAACGTATGCTCATTATAACTTTCTACAGTACAGTTTTACCTTACAGTTGGCTCATTTCTTGAAGGGTTCTTGATCATTACGTTCAAAATACAGACAATCAAAATATAAGGAATACAGCAATATAAAAATTCTGGCCAATAGGATAAGCTGACAATTTGTATATTGTGGCCGATAACTGATAATAACTTAAAATGAGCTAATATTAAAATATTAAAACTGATATTAAACCCATATTAGCTGATTTTAAAAACTATTTTGTCTAAATAAAAAAAAAAATAATAAAAAATTAATAAAACCAATCATTTTAAATGCTACAAGTGATTTTAGGCAGTACAACATTATAATATACAGTATGAAAAATGTATATTAATTTTGAGATTTGCTAAAGATTATATTTAACAGTGATAATAATTTATTAGTACTGATTAAAAAAAGAACATCAGCTGAAATTCAATCTGGTATTCAATATGGAATAATATATATTGTGCATGCCAACAAAAATTATAGAAACAATCATTGTAGACTTTGGTATCTTGGCAAATCTGAGCACAGTTTGGATCTGAAGTTAGAAAACCTTTAAAGCTGAAGTGTGTAATCTTTTGTTATTAAAATACTGTTCTATCCCAGCTAAATATGTAGAGAAAATAGTAACTCATCCATCTGTAGGTCAGTCCCCCAAAATCTGTAAATGCTGTGGCTTTGTAGCACTTTTAAGGTTTGGAGGTCTATACCTGAAAACCACTTTTCATTTAGGAAAAAAATATATAAATATCAGGACACACTAATTTTTGAATGGCTGTCAAAGGAGAAACTTTTGTTGGCCCAGTTTGTGTAATTACAGCATTTACCAGCAGGGGCTAACCAGCCAAAACTTGGTTTGAGCATACGAACCAGTCAAACTCCGAAACATTCACTCCAAAAATGGTTCAAGTTTGGTCCAAGACTCCCTGTTTGTCTGGTCAATGGAAGGCGAGGAAATGTTTGAGAAATATATTTGAAAACAATTGTTATCCAGAAATTCTCAAAAGAGATCTACTGCTCTTTGAGGTCTGGGACTGACAGGTAGATATGTGTGAAAGATTATGCTAAGTTGAACAGAGAGAGAAAAGCACGTTAGAGAAAGAGTGACAGAAACAGAGAGAGAGAGAGAGAGAGAGAGAATGACACCGTTCTTCTCCTGTGACCTATGCAATTGCTAGAGTAGAGACAGCTCATCAATCTCCCATAGTTGAACATCACTCTCTGTCTCCATCCCCCCAATGGAGGGACAGCCTGTCTTGTCCTAATGCATGTGTCCTTACCTCTCAGCTCCTCTCAACAGATTTACACACCAGCTCTTTGCCTGTGACAGCAGCTTTCCTTTCACTCCAATCACCATCACTTTGGACCAAACCAGGGGTGTTTCTGAAATTCAGCCTTAGTAGGGCAGAGCCCCTTATCCTTATGCCCTCGTGTGGGCTGCTGGGGCTGAGTGGAATATTTCTTGCTTTCATAGTGAGAGGTTTGAATTTTTTTTTGACTGACATTTTTTTTAAAAAATAAACCATCAATCATAAGTGCAGCAGTAAGCCCCAAAAAGTATTTAGACACTATATGTGTCCAATTTCTTTTTTTTATGAAAGGTTTCTCTCTGTAAAGTGTATTTGGGCTACATTTCTTTAAAATAAATGATGCATCCTTCAAAAGTTTGGCATCAGTTTTTTTTTTTACACAATACATTTTTTTTTCAGAAAGGATGGAATAAATTGATCAAATGTGACCCTGGACCACAAAACCAGTCATAGGTGTCAATTTTTTTTTAAATTGAGATTTATAAATATTTGGCTGATTT